AGAGAGAGAGAGAGAAAGAGAGAAAGAGAGAAAAAAACACGAAAAAAACACATAAATCCGCATTACCAATATCAATTGATCGATTCTCGATGCAAGAAGATCTCAATAATGGATGATTTGTGGATTACACAAAGGCGTACCGAAAAAAAACAAGAAAACGCGAGAACAAAAAAAAAAGGAGAGAAAAAACACCGTGAAAATCCATTATTTTTTTTTTTTTCTCTTGTAAATTCATCTACGCCCGATCGATTCTATCGATCGTCCGAAAGCAATAACTGGACATAAAAACAGGATAAGGTTCGTAACTTACCTTGCGGTTGATACCCTCGGCCTCCGTGGCTGCTGTGTACACTAGGGGGTCCTTGTCCATACATACCATCATAGCCTTGATCAGGGCCAAGCATGTCCTGAAGAGATTAGGTAGCTCAGATCAACACAAAACGTAATCTTCAACAGCAGTATCACCGACAAGTCCGCGTAGAAAATCGTCGTTTTTTCAAAATACATACATCGAATAATCGCGTTTGAAAATGGTAGAAATTCGCGGGTGTCTATGTTACTCGGTACTAAGGAGGGGCGGGTGAAAAACACGAATGGTAATGGAAACGCATTCTCATGCATTGCAAATGAAGAATATCGTGATAAAATAATCGCTGTACAATTAATACAAATTCCATTGCTCCATTAGGCACCATCACTTTTTGAATCCCATTATGAGGTGTGTAATGTGATGAGTATGTTTGCAATGAATGTAAAAAAAATGTATACATTCGCATTTCGTATTTAGTTTTAGATTATGATGAACACATACACAATATTTCTCATAATCGTATCGCGATAACAGGTGAAAGTTTGTTGTGTGAAGATTGTACATACACTTGTACTGTACTGTATTTTTACTTTCTAATTGATTCAATATTCCGCAATATGATTAAATTGTGCAAAGTGGAATAATGGATGACATTCACATTTGCAAACTATCTAAGGTACACATTTCTAAACTTACATGAGGGAAAGATTACGCATGTGCCTGTTACTAGTCGAGATAAAATTACGATATCGTTATTATGCCCTCGTGGCTCAATTTACTTACTAACACGATGTAACCAAAATGTAAAAAAAAAAAGAAAAAAAAAAAAAAGGAAGAAAAGTTGAATGAATTAACTTACGAACCTATGACGAATCGTTTCGCAAATCGTTCGTCGGCTTACTTCGCTCGACTCTTACGATCTATTTTCAAAGCTAGCACGATAAATAAGTGCAGCAAGTGAATCAAAATTTTATCGCAGCAGCACATGCCGCTAGATGAAAAACAAAACCAATCGGGGGCTATGTTACAAAGTGTTTGTTTGTGAACGATAAATAAATTTAACCACGACATAAGCGAGGCATGCATCGGTACAAAATGTGAAAATTTTTGCATACCTGTAGATCTGGACCCATCCCAAAGTCAGCGTTATTCCAAAGATTCGTGTCCTCGCGCAACAAAGAATTGGTAAGTTCCATGGACAGCCGTTTCTTGTATTCTTGTGGTTTATCTTCGCTCATACGGAATAAAACAGCTGCCGCGTATGTCGCGACACCTTCGTTCCTAGAGTGAAGCAGTTCTGTTAAAGGAGCTGTAGCACCTTCTTGCTCGATCATTTCAGCACCTTCCTTGTCCGCGGCAAGCTCGCAGAGTACACCAGCTGCGACACGTTGAATATTCTCAATCTCGTTGAACAATAACTGCAAAAAAAAGAAAAAAAGGAAAAGAACAAAAGCGAATTTAGATGATAACACAATTGATAAATACGGGCGAACAGATAATCAAAGATATAGAAAGTGGTAAGTCGCATTTTATACGAACCTGTACGAAAATCGGAATCACGTTCTGAGATCTGATTATGACCCTATTGTGAGACTCCCTTGCGAGGATATGAAGTGCGCCCACAGTACCCTCCACTATCTCTTCCATTCGGACACCACCGTCTGCGTACGCACCTGACGCTTGCTGGCTTCCAGTACTTGCCACGGATGAGCGTTGCTGCTAAAGAAGAATCAATCTTTTCTTTTTATTCACATTCCGACCAGCGAGAAGTGAAGAAATAGCATGGAAAGCGATACTCACCCGTTGTGTTTCGGGGAAAGCACGCATCAGAAGCCTGACCAGATGATGGATAGCGCCGTGATCGCGTAGCGGGCCGTGATTCGCGGGGCAAAGTGCCAAATTGCGAATTAATCCTATCACCGCTTTAACCAGCGGCCAACGCGAAGGCGGTGTAAAAGTTTTACTATAACCTGAATTCCATAATTTAGGCGGACAGAATTCTGTGCCATTTCCGCCTCCACGTGACGTGACGTTAAATGACGAAGCGCGCATACTGCTGGCTCGCTGATCTCTTCCCGGCTATCCGCATAAATGATCGTGCGCACAAGAGCGTCAACACCTCCCACTTGACATACCGTTACTTTGTTACGTTGATTATTGCAAGTCAGATTAGACAAAATACCAGCGGCACATGTGACGACATTTACATCGGTAGAGCTAAGAACTTGTACAAGACTTTGTAATAAACCTTCCAATCCGTCGACTTTGGTGCCAGCGTCCGATAAATTTCGTAACGTCCACAAACAATTTTGGACGAGCCTTTGACTTGGATTACCGAGATGCATCGCAAGTGCTTGCATACCACCAGCCTCGACTATCACCGGTTTATTACTAAGGCAAACGGACAACACTTTCAATGCCCTCGAAGTCGTCCACAGAAGCTTCTCGTAATCGTAAGAGCGCATAATGCGTACCAGTTCTATCGGCCCTTGAGAAGCTAATATAATTAATTTGCTCTCTTGATTACCGTACGCAAGAATTTGCAAGCAATCGGTTACTATGGCTAGAAATTTGACGTTATCCCGTTGAAGTAGAGCAACCATCTTTTGCAACCCTCCTGCAAGCCGTACAGCCATTTTAGAACCATCCTGATGCAAGAGTAAATTGTGCAGAGTCGTGATTGCGTAAAACAGAACGGATTCCATTGGAGAACTCAAAAGCTTCACAAGAGCGGGTATACCACCACTCTTAAAGATAGCCAGCAGACCTTGCCTGTGATGAGACAAATTGTGCAAAGTACCAACTGCTGCCTTCGTCGATTCGAGATCGTCACTGTTTGAAATGGCACGAACTAGAGCAGCTACCATTTGTGAACTATTCATAATGGCGTGACGAGAAGCTTCCTTCTTGGAAAGTTGATGGACAACCATCGCTGCCTTAGATACAACAACTTGATCCTCGTCATTCAACAATTTTATTAATTCCGGTATCGCGCGCGTTGCAAGATCTGCATCATCCTGATAATTTATCAAATTGACAACTGCGTGTTTCAACATTTGACTTGGTTCTGCCAATCTTTGAACAGCGGTAGGCTGAGCTGGATCGTATTGGGTAGAGGGAATTTCTATACCTTCTTCTAATGTCTCTGGAAACATTGCTGCCCGTACACGCTGTGATCTTGTATGATTCAATTGTTGATTCATTTCATCGACTTGATCCTGCGTAAAGCCTTGAGCGAATCCCTGATCCAAATCAAACATCAATTGATCACCTTCCATCTCATCGTCTTCCTTGCCCGATAAAGATGGTGCTTGAGTAACGGCACCAGAATGAATTCCAGAGTCACCCAGATAAGAGTTTTGTTGCCACATTAAAGTTTGTTCTTTGGCAGAACCCATGGGTAAATCACCCAAACCTTGATAATTTCCGTGAGACACTACAAAAAGTTAATTTTCCACAAATATAATACAAATTGTTTGCAAATTGTACGTACTTACTTTCATGAATACGAATAGAATAAAAGAATCACTCACTTGGTCTAGATTGATTCGAAGACATTTGATAACTCATGGCTCCTACGGGAGAATCTACCCACACCTAGAATAGAGAAAAAAAAAATCATGCTATACAGTCTTTGAAATTGACATTTTATTTGTGATAAATCACAAAGATCACAAGATAAAAAGAAATGTAACAAGTTGTTAATATTAAGGAAGGAAAAAAGGAAGAAAGAAAGGAAACAAAACGTTTATACAAAACGTTTTATAAATATAAAATAAGATAATTTAAACATGAGAACGAACGTGTTAACACGATGTGACACGAATACATTCAATGTGGCACGAAATAGCGCGAAAGGGAATACAGAAATATAGTACGAACTGGATTACACCTCTGTCGATTGGCACAAGATTAACTAAGAGGGGAAGAGAGAGAGAGAGAGAAGAAAAAAAAGAAAAAAAAAAATAATATCTCCTCGATATGACGAAGGTTTAATCTTCTCGTTCAAAGTTTCAAAGACGCCACGACGCGCGTAGGGTCAGTGCACTGTATCACGAAGAATGGAAGGAGGATGCAACTACATGGAATGTGGGCACGATCGAAAGATTCCTCTAAGCGTTGTTGCAGCTTCCACTTTTATTTTGGAACACGAGCGGGGACCGCGTTGATTTGATCGAATCCGGTAGGAAATCGTATCTAGAGATGCACACAGGGCGCGAAAGATGCTCGATTTCCAAAGGTAGAGGGACGCGCGTGGGCGTGCGGCACAACAAAGGCTCTGAGAATGCAATGCATCACCATTTTCCGAGGATCCACGAGCGGCGGAGAGTGGAGAGCGGAGAGTGGCAGGGAAGCGAAAACGGAAGGAAGGGGCAACACACAAGAGTGCTGACTACGATACACTAATGGAAGAGAGAAAGCGAACGAGAAAAGGAGAGAGAGGAGGAACACTTTGACACACCCAGCGTAAACACCGCCGTCACGGAAATGACAATTTTTTTCCTATCGGTCGATGTAATGGCGAATGATAAAATTATACTGTGCTTACCGTATCGCGAGGATCGACCGAAGGCGATTTCGTGAATCGTGCTCGGACAAAGACACGAATTATTCACTACCTTACGCTCGATCCACTAAATTCCCTTTTTCCCCCGACGTACAATCCACCTATCTCTTCTCCGTACGAAGCTCTTGGCCTTTCTTGCCTCGAATCCGTCAACTAAAGATGGCGGAAAACGACGCGGAACCTTCGATTCTACCGCCACCTGTCGACTGAACTGATTCGACGAGGTTGCAGAGGTGCTCAATATCCATATTACAACCTCGATTAGCTGGTTGTCCGTAGAAGAATATTTATCGATTTTTACCCTTTGCGAATACTCGATCGTATCTAACTCAAACCCGTTTACCGTATTTCCGGGAATTCTATAACTAATTTACTTGTATTCTTGTTTTCTTTTTTATACGTATTTTAAAGCACGAATAAATATCAGTTACTACAGTTGCATTTCGATTTTAAGGTTATGAACGAAATTACGGACGGAAATAAGAAATAATAAATAACGTACGATAATTCAAACGTACGAGTTATTTTCAATATATATTAAAATTGATCGATCTATGATTTTGTAAAACGTGTTGCGTATAACACGTTTATAATAATAATAATTAAATTTAACGAACTGTTTGTTTTATGCATATGTATTGGTGAATGAAAAGAAAAAAAAAAAAAAATACTATCCAACCGATGTCAGCCGGTATGTCAGAAAAAAGTAGATAGAACGCCAGATGGTGAAACTATCTACGATACCCTATGATGTGTCTCAATATCTCACGCACGAAGACTGAAGGATAATATTCGGCAGTCGGGGAGATCAATTTCAATTAAAAGACAATTCCCTAGGACATGGCAATTTTTTAATGGATTCGTGGGTATTTGTCCATCCACGGTAGTCGAGAATTTCTGATCGAGTTCAGGAGTAAATCGTGCAGTTGGACAGCTAGAATGCGCACAAAATAACAGACACCGGAGTCCAAAGTAAAATATACTGGCCGTTTGGCGGGAACACCATTCGTTATCGGCTGCGCCCACGCCGATTAATTTTCGGATGCGTGATGGCGGTACCGTTCCTTCCGTTCCGTACAGTGATGATACATTTTATGTCAACGCTGATATTGAACGGATAATCGGAAAAAAGGAAAACGCGTTTTGAAATACATCATCGTGCCGATATTGAAATATCGAAGCGCAAAGCTTCCTGGAAATAAATTTATGCCCGTTCTTTCAATTAATGACAAGCGATATAACTACCGTTTGTATAATTTGAAAAATAAGGAAATGGTTTTCCGCGAAATAAAATTTCTCGATCGGTTTACGGGTGGCAAATATTTCTCTTTCCGTTTCCACATCAAACGAGAAATGAAATATTAATTTGAATTCGCATTATTATTCCTTAATTCTTAAATTCGTTCGATGTAACGAGAGCCTGTTTGAAAATCTCTCGGACTCTTACTTATTTACGTAGTATGATATTAAAAAGACA